GTTGTTGCTAATGATGGGTCATTTGTGCTAAGCAACCAATGTCTTTTAATTTGCATAACAGTAACCTTGGGAATCAGTCAAAAACACACAACCACTTTCCAAAAGGTCTGGTCATGGTGCCACTCTATGTGCAATGGACACAGAACACCAATGAAACAGATTAGTTTTGATGATGCTGCAACATGAGGTTTGGGGCTTTTAAAAGGGGAAGCCAGAATGTTGTTGGCCAAATCTTTGATCCATCATAGTCAATAGTCAACAAGAGAGTGCGAAAGGCAGTAATGGCCTACAACTTCAAAAATAACAGAATGATCTCAGTCTGAATTCAAGGAAACCCATTCTAACTTTTGCGCTCTCCTCTTTCATCCTTAGCAAGAGACTCTTTGGATCCTCTTTCTGCACTTTCTGCATTTAGAGTGGTATCATCTGCATATCTGAGGTTGTTGACGTTCTTCCCAGCAATCTTAATTCTGGCTTGTGATTCATCCAGGCCAACATGTACTCTGCATATAAATTAAATAAGCATGGTGACAATATACATCCTTGTCATACTCCTTTTCCTATGCTAAACCAATCAGTTGTTTCGTATCCAGTTCTAACTGTCGCTTCTTGACCCTTATACAGGTTTCTCAAGAGACATGTGAGGTGATCTGGTACTCCCATCTCTTTAAGGACTTGCCATAGTTTGTTGTGATCCACACAATCAAAGGCTTTAGCGTAGTCAATGAAGCAGAAGTAGATATTTTTCTGGTACTCTCTTGCTTTCTCCATAATCCAGCGAATGTTGGCAATTTGATCTCTAGTTCCTCTACCTCTTTGAAACCCAGCTTGTACTTCTGGCAGTTCTCTATCCACATACTGTTGAAGCCTAGCTTGTAGGGTCTAGCAAAAATAAGTGGACTGTGAATTAAGCGCTAAATTTAAAGAGACACTACTACAAAAATCAGAAAAATATATGCAATTTAAACCTATCTGACAGTGAATATAATCAATACAAACGTTCAGTGCAAGTGCAAGAAGATTGCAAGACGTTAAGATGTTAAGTGCAAGAAGATTGCAAGACGTTAACAACGTGCTCCGGAATGTCCTATGTTGTTTCGACGTTCCTTCTTCTGAACAAGGTTATGTCTACAAATAAACATTTTTAAACATTTTTTTCAAATTATTATATCTGGATACTTGGAACTATGAAGCCTTATAGTATGAAATTGCAATACAATAAAAATCCTCATACATACATACATATCATCTCTGGGTTTTGTCATATCCAAGGAGTAGAAATAAAGCCTGACACTTATATGCTTCTTCTTGAATAATCTACAAAAATTGACAGACCATTACTATATATTACTTCACAATACATAATCATGATCAAAAATACAATAATATTAAGAATAATAATCACCAAATCATGTTTGCAATTGTGAGTAGATAAAGTTCTTTTCAGGGAGAATACAAAAGAATGGAATGTCTTAACAGGTACTCAATACTGTGAACCTCCTTTCGTGTATTTAGCTTGTAGGGTCTTGCTAGTGTGTGAAATGAGTGCAATTGTGCGATAGTTTGAACATTCCTTGGCATTGCTTTTCTTTGGGATTGGAATGTAAACTGACCTTTTCCAATCCTGTGGCCACTGTTGCGTTTTCCAAATTTGCTGGCAAATTGAGTGCAGCACTGAAACAGCATCATCTCTTAAAACTTTGAATAGCTCAGCTGGGTTACCATCACCTCCGCTAGCTTTGTTGTTAGTAATGCTTTCTAAGGTCCATTTGACTTCACATTCCATGATGTCTGGCTCGAGGTGAGTGATTACGCCGTCATGGTTGTCAAGAAAGAAGAAGAAGAAGAAGAAGAAGAAGAAGAAGAAGAGATTGGATTTATACCCCACCCTTCACTAACCAAAGGAATCTCAGAACGGTTTACAAACTCCTTTCCCTTCCCCTCCCTTGAGGTCCTTCTTGTATAGTTCTTCTGTGTATACTTGCCATCTTTTCCTAATCTCTTCTGCTTCTGTTAGGTCCCTACTGTTTTTGTCCTTTATCATGGCCAGCTTTGCATGGAACGTGTCCTTGATTTCTCCAATTTTCTTGAAGAGATCTCTAATCCTTCCCATTCTAATGTTCTCCTCTATTACTTTGCATTGCTCATTCAGGAAAGCCTCCTTATTTCTCCTTGCTGTTCTCTGGAAATCTGCATTCAGTTGGGTAAACCTTTCCTTTTCACCTTTACCTTTTGCTTTCCTTCTTTCCTCTGCTATTTGTAAAGCCTCATCAGACAGCCACTTTGCTTTCTTGCCTTTCTTTTTCTTTGGGATGGTGGTGATTGCTGCCTCCTGTACAATGTCACGAACCTCTATCCATAGTTCTTCAGGCACTCTATATATCAGTTCTAGTCCCTTAAATCTATTCTTCACTCTCCATTGAATATTCATCAGGGATGTGATCTAGGTCAAACCTGAATGGCCTAGTGGTTTTCCCAACTTTCTTCATTTTAAGTCTTAATTTTGTAATGAGTAGCTCATGATCTGAACCACAGTCAGCTCCAGGTCTTGTTTTTACTGACTGGATAGAGCTTCTCCATCTTTGACTGCAAATGATATAGTCAGTCTGATTTCGGTGTTGCCCATCTGGTGATGTCCATGTGTAGAGTCACCTCTTAGGTTGTTGGAAGAGGGTGTTCCCTATGGCCAGCATGTTGCCTTGCCAGAGGTGTTGTAGGTCTTCATAGAACCGGTCCACTTCAGCCTCTTCTGCATCAGCAGTTGGGGCATAGACTTGGATTACTGTGATGTTGAATGGTTTGCCTTGCAGAAAGTGAAGAGGACCTAAAGAGTCTCTTGCTGAAAATGAAAGAGGAGAGTGCAAAGGTTGGCTTGAAACTCAACATCAAAAAAACTAAGATCATGTCATCAAGCCCCATCACTCCTTGGCAAATAGAAGGAGAAGTCGTGGAAGCAGTGACAGACTTTACGTTCCTGTGATCCAAGATCACTGCAGACGGTGACTGCAGCCATGAAATTAAAAGACGCCTGCTCCTTGGGAGGAAAGGGATGGCAAGTCTAGACAGCATAATAAAAAGTAGAGACATCGCCCTGTCAACTAAATTCCATATGGTCAAAGCAATGGTATTCCCAGTAGTAATGTATG